TGTGTCAAAGATTACAGAATAAAAAGAGAAAGATATTGCCAAAGCTAAGGAAACAGAATTTTTAGAAGGAGGGAATTGTTAAAAATGTCAAATACCACAAAAGGGAAGCTAAGGAAACTAACATTTTAGATAGGACCTATTATGTCAGGAACTTGAACTATATTAATTTCAATCTCTACCAACCAACTAATTGGTATTTCACATTTAACATGTCCAAAATAGAGCTCTTCTTTCTCATCCCCTTAACCCACCCCTCCAGCAGAGTCGGTCTTCTCAGTAAATAGCAGGGCTTCTCTGCCATGACTCTGCTACTCTTTCTTTCATGTATCACATTCAATCCATGTGCAATAATCTTTTTTTAAACAAGCTCAGAAGGTAAAGAATTTTTATGTTATGCACAAAAAGTACTATTGAGATTTTTGGGCAAGATAATTCTTTACCACTCTTTGAAGAATAGTTGGCCTCTGATCACTGTTGGGAAACAATTCTCTACGGGTCTCTTGTGTTTCCAAATGTCTTATGGGCAAGGCATTAACAGCTCTTTGTTGCAGACTGATATTTAAAGCATGCTTATACAAGCAGCCTTGGAATATAGAAATATTTCCCTTCAGAGCAAAAGACATGTCTACTGATCATTAGAAAAGATTTGGGTTCCCAAGGCTCAGGATTCCTCTCTTGTAGGGCAACCCATTATGGATATCAACTGGCCCTTTCAATGTTGCCCTTTGGGAACTTCGACTCAGCACAGGGAACTAGCACAAATACTGATATCCTAGCTCTTGCTCTTCCTGTGAATAACAAACTATTTTTCATCTCTTACCTAGAAGTCTTATGTCATCCATCAGCATCCATGAAACTGTAGCAAGCTAACTTGTTAGCTTGCAAGCAGGGTAAAGTCAGACTCTTCATGGCTCTTGACACTCACTCATGATAGTAGTGCTGCAAAGCATTGCACCAGCAGAAACACTCATATTTCTAAATGTTCAGCGGGGAGGTGCTGCTCTTTGAAAACTCCATTGCCTTATGTGATCTGACCCCTCATTACCTCAATAATCTCACCTTCTACAACTTTTCCTCTAGCTCACTTCGTCCCATAATTCTGACCTTCTTTCTAGCCTTTGAAACACCTCAATTTAGTTCCCACTCCAGGGCTTTGGTACCATTTCCTCTGCCTGCAGCACTCTTTCCACATCTTGACATGAATCACTTCTTCCCTTCAGTGAAATCTCTTACTAATGGTTCCTCCTCACTGAGGCCTCCCCTGCTTCCCTCTTCTCCCCTTATCCTACTTTTTCTTTTCATGATGTATTACCATCTGGTATTAGATTACTGCATTGATTATTGTCTGTGATCTTCACTAGAATGTGAGCTCAGTGAGGGGAGGAGGACCGTTGTCAAAATCACTGCCAAACTCCCAGTGCTTAAAACAGTTGTGAGTGTATTGGAAAAACTTTTAAAAAAAAGTTTGTTTAATAAATGAATTAATTAAATTTAATACTATCATGGGAACTCAATGCTATGTTGTTTATGAGACATAAATAGCAATTTCCCCAAATGCAGTTACTAAAAGATGTTAAAGAGTTTTACACAATCATCTGCATTTCTGGGCAGTGGGGCATCTTTCACTTTCACTTCAAACAAGAAGTTCTTTTAATTCTCTTCCTCCACTGCTAAACCTTGAGCCAGAACTACACCCCAAAAGGAAAATGCAGAAGTCTGAAAACCCTCAGGGCTCTCAGACTGGAGTTGTAGGTGCAGCATCATGTAGCCATTTCGGGTAGCAAATGAAGGCTTAGAACTTGTGTTTGATAAGGGACAAGAGCACTCTGATCAGACCAGAACTCTTTCCCCAGTTATGCTGGTCCAGTCACCAATGATTTCTCAATAAGAAGTAATGAGAAACATTTCAGATCCTCTAGGAAACCTTTACAGGTTTTTTTGTCCATAGTGATGTACAATCAACTTCATAAGCTTGTCGTTATACAGTGTGAGTTCAAGTCATTGTCAATCAATCACTCACCACTATTTTAAAAACTCTGTTTTAAAAGAGGTGAATCCATCTGATAGCTGGAGTGAGCAAAGAAGGTAAGTAACAAGGTTTCCAGAATGTGCTTTAAAGAGGCTTATTTCTGCATAAGGATACTATATCTTCTGCTCACACCAATCTCACAAATTAGGTATTATCTGTATTTTATTGCTGATAAAGAACACACTTAGTAGGATATGGTTTGATTGACCTTGAGTGGAGACCTTTAGGGGAAGTGTAGCAGAAGAGAATGTGAAGTTAAACTAACAGTGCAAATGAAATAGATGTTGAAGTGACTGGTGACCTACATTAAGGGTAAGGATGGGTAAAGAGGAAATTATGAAGGGACTTGTCAACTGGAAAACAAGAATTGGTTGCAGAGTAGATCTTGATTTGTTCTTTGCTCTTTTCTGCCTTTGGACTATTTATTGTCTTGTGCTCCTAAATTTCTCAAGTTCTGAGTTATGATGCCTTCTCCCCCACTTCTAACAAAGCCAAAATAACTTTCTCAGTCAATTTTCAGGATTCTTATTTCTGAGGAGATGTAGCACTGCAATGAAAATGTAAGATGTGCCATGAGCCAGACTAGGCTGTAAAGCTGCAAGGACAAGCAATGATTCATGTCCTTAGATGTTTCTGGCTGGTGGGGAGGGCAGAGAGATGTGAAGGTAATTAGCCCACAGCATGGTAATTTTAGAACAAAGGCAAACAGAGGGGTGCTCTGGAGCACAGAAGAGGAGTGTTGTAAAAGAAGCTAGAGGGGGTGAAGAAAGCCTTCCTGGAAGATACTGATCCCTGATAGCAGTCTTGAGGGATGAGTAGATAGCAATGGTGTTGGTAGCATTTCAGATGCAGGGACAGGAGAGAGACAGGTTTCACAGTGTGAGTGTGGGAGTAGCATGAGATGAAGACAGAGAGCCAAGCAGGGTCCAGGTGGGCCATGAAGACAAACGACACCACCAAAGGATGTAAAGCAGAGGTCACGTGGCAAGGCTTCTTTTTAAGAAAGATCTCTCTGGTCAAGGGTAGAGAAAAGTACTGTAGATATAGAAAGTTACACTTATTTTAATGTAATTTGTAGCTGAATATCTTCAAGTGATTATTTTTCAAGTGTCATGATTACTATCCAGAATTAGTTCTTGATATTTATTTGGGTATTATCTTCTTCATCATCTGCCCAAATCGAGGTTTCTAATACCAGTAGTATTCAGCAAACAAGGAAGAGACAACAGAGCCTTCAGAATAATGAAGGGAAAGGGGTGTTGGAGAGGAACCTCTGCAGAGTCACAGTTCACAAAACAAATGTAAACAGACTCTTGGACAAACAATGAGTGCCCCAGTTGCACTGAAACTGAACAATGGCTCACGTTGCAAAGAAGCACAAGTGTTTTCTGTCTGTAAACTTTAGTCAGTAAAGGAAAAAAGCTAGACAAAATAATACACTGAGTTTTTATAGCAAAGGTGGAGAATATTTGTCTTCCATAGGTAGTTGAAATATTAAAAATATATATTTTCTTAATATAAGAAAATTGTAGAAGAAAACAGTTTAGTAAACTATGTGAATGCAAACTTCTCTTTCCCATTCTACTATGAAGTGGTTTGATTAACTAAGGACAGAGATTTAAGTTCCATTTTCTAAGTATTTAAAATCCTATTACTATTGTATTGCTTTCATTTGTTCGTTTTGAGACAAGGTCTCACTCTGTAACCCAGACTGGAGTGCGGTGGCGCAATCACAGCTCTCTGCAGCCTCAGCCTCCTTGGCTCAAGTAATCCTTCCACCTTAGCCTCCTGAGTAGCTGGGACTACAGGTGCATGCCACCATGCCCAGTTAATATTTTTTAAAGTTTGTTGTAGAGATGTTTATGTTGCTCAGGCTGGTCTCCAACACCTGGGCTCAAGCAATTCTCTTACCTCAGCCTCCCAAAGTGTTGGGTTTACAGGCATGAACCACCATGTCCAGCTGCCTTGTAATTTTTATGATCTACCCAGGACCAGATGATCTGAGTCATAGGCTTCAAATCTTACATTCCTTTCCAAGTTTTATATTCCAAGCTAGAATTTTTATGTGAACAAATACACTCTTATTAACTTTTATTGAACTCGATTGATTTTAGACAGTGAGAGAGCTTGTGGTGACATTGAAGGTCACTTACAGAAGGTGCTGTGGGCACAAGGTCATTTTCTGTTCTTCCTGTCTGCATTGCTGTGTGAACCCGAACAGACTCATAAATGGAGGGTTCTTCCACTTTTCTTGGGTAGGGATGTTTTAGAACCATCAGAGTGCCTGAATGAAGACAAAAAGTATATAATCGAACAGTGTTCTCAGAAGGAAGGTCCAAACGCTAACTGGATAACTGTGGCTCGATTGGAAAGTCTTTTATTTTTTTCATGTATTCCCTCACTCATTTTCTCAACATTATCAAACATCAATTAGGTGTCAGGCACTTAAGCTGGACACTGAGATATAAAACTTGATGGAGATGCTCCTTGGCCTCCTGGTACTCAGAACTGGTAACAGATATGATTGTTTAAATGAACAGGGTGATGAGACCAATGGCAGCCATGTGAGTGAAGCATGATGATGGTCCCCAGACTGCCTGAAGAACCTTTCCATGAAAGGATTCAGGACAGCTTTCGTAAAGGAGGTGACGTTTGACTTAGATCTTAAGTAGTAACTGGAAGTTTCCCAGGAAGGCTTTATGAAAGCCATGAAAACAAGACTAAACAAACGCACTGGGATAGAGGAAGATCTATTCCATTGCCCTTATTTTTGCCAGTTTCAGAATAAACTTGTAACAAATTAGTGGATTTCAAAAAAGTGAGCATTCTCCCTACTCTCTGATACTACCCAATTAATGAGAGTAACCAAGCAAAGTCTTCGCATTACTAAGTGAACATGACCTGAACAAGCTGGTGTTCACAAGTGATTGCCTCCCCTTCCACCTGGAGGGGGAGCCTTCAGGCAGAAAAAGGGCTCAGCCCAGGGGGCCAGGAATAGGGGGCTGGGGAACTTTGTTCCAAGGGCTCAGAGCAGTTCTGAGTCTATGCTTCTGACATTTCCTTCTTGAAATCCTTCCCTCAATCAATCAGTCAATCAGAAACTAACTACAAAAAGAGGCAACTTAAGGGGATTTTTTTTCTTCCTTGCTATGGTTTCTTGCTTTTAATTTTACTAGGGTCTTTTCTACAGCAGGCCTAAGATTGTACCAGAGATGGAAGAGATGTAAAGAATTCAGCAATTCATTCAACGAATATTTACAGAGCTTTGCACTGTGCCAGGCACTTGTCTAGGTACTGGGAATACAACAGCAAACAAAGGAGTTTAAATGCTCTTATGGAGCTTATGTTCTAGGTAGAGGAGACAGAAAAAAATTTAAAAAAATATTTTATGCGTGAGAAGTGCTATGGAAAAAATGAATAGGGCATGGTAAAGGGATAGAGAATAAAAAAGGTGGGGTTGGGAGAGGGTGACATTTTCCAAGAGTCATAAGGAAGGGCGTCTGAAAATATTTGAAAGATTCTGGAAAGTAGAGAACCTGAATTAGAGTAAGAGAGAGAAAATGAAAAATATCTCCTCTGTGGTTAAAAAACACCCTAATGTTAATGATAAATCTACACAAAACGGGCTGGGCGCAGTGGCTCAGGCCTGTAATCCCAGCACCTTGGAAGACAAAGGCGGGTGTATCACGAGGTCAGGAGATCGAGAGCATCCTAGCTAACATAGTGAAACCCTGTCTCTACTAAAATACAAAATAAATAAATAAATAAATAAAGAGTTGGGCATGGTGGCAGGCACCTGTAGTCTCAGCTACTCGGGAGGCTGAGGCAGGGAAACTGCTTGAACCCGGGAGGCGGGGGTTGCAGTGAGCCGAGATCACACCACTACACTCCAGCCTGGGCGACAGAGAGACTCTGTCTCAAAAAAAAAAAAAGAAAAATCTACACAAAACAAAATCATTCTGTGATACTTGAGTACATGCAATATCTAACTGCAAACACAGAACTGTGGCTTTTGACACTTGGGCCCAGATAAGGTGCTGCTGTAAAATGAAAAGCTGTTGAGAAAAGCCAGAAGAGGGTGTCTGATCTTGACCTCAGAGAAGAATGAAAGCCTCCGGCCCTTCCTCTTTCTGCCTCTCATTGGCATTGCAGCATGGGGATCACAATGAGAAATGGATTTCGCCATTATCAGAATGGTCCCATTCTTGTACATTGTCTGTGCTCTCTTTTTTCGATGTGATCTTCCCATAAGAACAGAGCCAGTCATATGAAGAGAAGGGGCGGACTACAGTTTTACAGTCAGAATGAAAAAAGCAGTACCTATATCAAGAGTAGCCGCTGTGCAGACTCAGGGGCTCTGTGAACACAGTGCTCACATTGCAGATGCATGGTAAATTCAGCGCTGGCTCCTACCCCTAAGAAACACTCCCAGTGATGTGCCTCATAGTCACTCTGGACCCTTGGAAAGAGCACTGGATGCACAGGCAGAGGAACAGGGTTCAATTGTCACTACTGCCATTCAGTACTTATTGGCCTTGGACAACCATTACAAGCTTCTGCTCCTTTTCTGACTAGTGAGAATAACTACGCTTCTTTCAGAAGGCACCAAATAAATGTTGGTGGGAAAATTATAACATATTAGATATTATTATTCTTTGACAGAATATTTTTAAATCCTTAAATAAAATTTGAATGATCGCATCTTTGGGGACATGAATTTTGAAATCTTAAAAAAGACCTACATGCAATATTCTGCTAGGAATAAAAATGGTGGTAGTCAGTAATCACTACTTGTGATTACTAGAGTTAAATTGGTGCCTCTTATACACTTTCACCCTGCAGAAGAGGAGAGGAGAATTGAAGCCTAGGGATCAAAGAAGCTCCCAAATTAGATACATTTTGAACTCATATGCTTTATCTTCAAAGTTGATGCTTAATTTTCATTCTACTTCATATATTTAATACTTAATATGAAAACAATGCTTTAAATGACACTCCAGAAAGATGTACTCACTTGATATGACCAGACACACACTTCACATAATAATACCTGTGTTAATTTTTTTTTTTTTTTTTTTTGAGGCGGAATCTTGCTCTGTCACCCAGGCTGGAGTGCAGTGTCACGATCTCGGCTCACAGCAACCTCTGCCTCCTGGCTTCAAGCAATTCTCCTGCCTCTGCCTCCCGAGTAGCTGGTATTACAGGCATCTACCACCACACCTGGCTAATTTTTGTATTTTCAGTAGAGATGGGGTTTCGCCATGTTTTGGCCAGGCTGGTCTCAAACTCCTGACCTCAGGTGATCCACCCACCTCGGCCTCCCAAAGTGTTGGGATTACAGGCGTGAGCCACCGTGCCTGGCCTAATTTTTTATTGCTATTGTAGCAAATTCCCACAAACATAATAGCTTAAAACAATTCAAATTTATCATCTTACAGTTCTGGAAGTCAGAAGTTTGAAATGGGTCTCACTAGTCTAAAACTGGCAAGGCTGCTTTCCTAGTGGAGGCTCTAGGGAGGATTCATTCCTTTGCATTTTCCAGCTTTGAAAGGTGCCCTCATGTCTTGACTTGTGGCCATATTCCTCTGTCTTCAAAACCAGTAACAGCCAGTCAGATCCTTCTCCTGCTGCCATCTTTCTGGTTCTCCCTCTTCTGGCTCCCTACTACTTATAAGGACCCTGTCAATTACAATGGTCTCACTTAGACAATCTAGGATAATCTCTCCACCCCAAAGTTATCTGATCAGCTGCTTTTATACCATCTGCAAACTTAATTCCCTCTTGCCATGTAACAATATATTACAGGTCCAGGGAGACATGTGCACATCTTTGTGGGGGCATTATTCTGCTACCACAGTATCAGTCCCTGTAGGAGAAATGGCTGCCGGGGCCAGTTGTGCTGCAGGGTAAGGATCTCTGGGCTGGGCTACTGCCTGAGCCTGCAGTGCTGTTACCTCTTGGTATTAGAGAGCCACTGCCTTTCCAACGTGTGCATTTCCAACCTCTGTGAGCCTCTTCAGCCCACATATGGGTCAAATTTATCTTTGTATCCATACCACCTGATACAGTTTCTGACATAATGAAGGCAGATGAGTAAATGAATTAATCAATGAATGTTACAGTAATGCAGGCTTGAGCCAGGAAAGACTCAAGATGAACCAGCCTCCCAGGTCCACAATTCTCCAGACCTAGGGCAAGAAAGGACAACAATCGCAGGCACAGCTCTTCAAATCTCTAGTGGAGGAACCCAAATTCTATTTTGAAAATCTCCTCTAAAGTTTAATTCAACAAGAGTAAAACAAAGGAAAATGGTATTGAGTCAACCAGGAGAGTAGATCTGACTGTAGATTGATTTTAACTAGTAACCCCACAAATGAGGCTAAACTAAATTGTGAGATGAAGAAGATGACAATGTACTTATAAAATGGCAACTTATATGGATACAAATCTGGTGTCCTAAAAGACAGTTCTCCTTAGCTGACTATTCTTGCCCAAGGAAAAGCCAATATACAGACTTCTTGGCATGGCTGTGAGGCTTAATGATTTCCCCTTCTGCAGAGATTATACCTCCCAGTGTACAGAGATAGATTCCCTACAACCATGTAATACCCCCAGACCTGGCCCTGCCTTCGAACACCTGATCTGGTCACACTAATTGGATTCAATTCTTGGGTATCCACTTAATTACTTCTCTAGAGAGAAGGTCCACCAACTTCAGTTTCTGAACTACACGACGTAGACTATTGTTTCCTGCCTTTGACATGAAACCTGATTTCAGAAAGACTGGGTGGAGGTACACTTCTGAGACGATCACAGCTGAATTAAGACAGACATATCAATTGACTGAAAGCCTCAGAGTTGCCGTGATTACTAAGCAGATTCCTTGTGGTCTCTTGGTTGTTCAACTTGCCCTTAAATTCTGGGAGGGTATATTGTTAATATCCTTTTCAAAAATTCTGCTTCTGGGCCAGGCACAGTGGCTCACGCCTGTAATCCCAGCACTTTGGGAGGCCAAGGCGGGCGGATCACAAGTTCAGGAGATAGAGACCATCCTGACTAACATGGTGAAACCCTGTCTTTACTAAAAAAGAAAATATAAAAAATTAGCGGGGCGTGGAGGCACACATCTGTAGTCCCAGCTACTCGGGAGGCTGAGGCAGGAGAATTGCTTGAACCTGGAAGGCAGAGGTTGCAGTGAGCCGAAATCATGCCACTGCACTCCAGCCTGGGCGACAGAGTGAGACTCTTATCACAAAAAGAAAAAAAATTCTGCTACTGTTCTCG